GCGCTGGTAAGTGTGTGTGTGTGTGTGTGTGTGTGTGTGTGTGTGTAGTGCTGACTTGCATTATAATGCATTGCTGGGACTTGTAGTCCCGCATAGCTGGTGGTATTCTGCATTGCTGGATGATGATTATAAAGCAATGCAGAATAGCACCAACTATGTAGGACTACAAGTCCCAGCAATGCATTATAGTGGGGGGGATGCTGGTGGTATTCTGCATAGCTGGCTTTTATTATAATGTATTTCTGGGACTTGGGGACACACGCACACCTTCGGGGGGGACACCTTCATGGTTTCTTGCACCGGGGGGGCCCTGAAGGTTCTAGTTACGCCTCTGCATATATGCCAAAACCAACATTCTTCGGATTATTCCTTTACAAGTGAATGGAATTTTCTCATCTCTTCCTGTAATATTGAATTCTGGCCACTAGGGGGTGATAAAGGAGCATTGGAAATGTATTCTCGGTGCTCCTCGGCGCCATCTAGTGGCCAGAATGGGATATGACATGAAAAATAAAATACATTTGCCTTCTGAAGCAACAACTAAAGAACGTTCATTTTGGCATATATCTGCTCAGACCGAACATTCACCGACATTCAAAGAAGAAAGGACGCTGTGGGTAGTTTTCAATTAGACCCCTATGTAAGAGAAAACCGGAAATACTAATCCCGCCAGGATCTCCCGCCTCTCTCAAGACTCCGCCCCTCCGTTACACTGCAGACGCGTTTCATCACTGAGGACTTTTCCTACAGAATATGTCTGACTCTTATTATAAACAGGACGTAACATGGCGGGTTGTTGGCCGGGGGAGCGTCCAGTTTCCTGTGGGAATCGGAAGGTTTTTCTATCCCCGGTGCAACAGGTTGGGTACAAAAAAGAAAAACTAATGCAGCTGCCATATTCAAGGACTGAGGAGCTGCAATATAAGACACCAGTGGTGTCACAAGGGGGGGCGGGGGGGTGTGGCCCCCACCGGGTGACACCATCAGGGGGAGTGACACCACAATGACTGACAGGTGTTTTGGTGTCACCCCCTCTGAAAAGTCGAGCACTCGGTCATGGACGAGAGAGGAGGGGACCCAGTGGCATACTTCCTCTCTTTGCCAGTGTCCATTACCAAGATGGCCGCTGGCATTTAAGCGCAAGTGACGTCATTGCGCATGTGTGTAATGATGTCACCCGTGTGTGTGTGATAACATGCCACTGGGTGACATCTTTGTTCTTGGGTTCATATACACCTTAACCTCTTGCCGTCCGCCCGTAGTAAAAAAACGGACGGACGGCACTGCTGCATCTGCGGGTTGCCGTCTCCAGACGGCAATTTTTTTCTGCTCGCGCGCGCCCCCTAGCGGGCACGCACGGGCAGAAAAGACCCGACAATGCACACACCCGGTACCGGGTGTTTCACATATAGGCGATCGGCGGGTCCATAGCCCGCCGATCGCCTATATGTGCTCGTTCGCGGCA